GTTTTGCAGAAAAATCCTCTATAATCGATTATAGTTTATTATAATCTCTTTTGTTTGCCCATTTTTTCTTCAATCATCCACCTGAATTGCTTATACTTTATGCTTTTCGTAGACGTTGGTTTATGTGGAAAATAGGAGAAATTGTTTTAACAGTTTTCAAATCATTTCAAATTTATAACGTTTTTGTTTCATTTCTTCTTGATTATAGTCGTTTCATGATGCACATTTTATGTTTTATTGACTAGAAAAATATCAGCACACTTTTTTAATTTTATGATTTATATAGAGGAGTTATTTTTCACCTACCGCGGGGTTCTTTCAACTACTTTGAATGGATCTCTATGAAACTTTTGTTTCGTGGTAAAATTTTGTGTTCAGGTGAACCTTGGAATGACATGACATCTGACTTTGACAGAAAAAAAAAGATTACAATCTATTGTAATAGATTATAATTGATTATAAGAGATTTTAGGAAAAATTATAATCAAATATAATTACTTATAATTTATTATAAGGTCACGAAAAATGTTATCATTATAATGGATTATAAATCGCATCTAAATTTGGCGATTTTAGTTACTTATAATTTTGATAAAAGTACAATTATAATTGTAATATAATCGTTTATTTTTTCTTTTTACTGAGTGCGGGAGTTTATTTTCTCCAAATCAGTTTCGATTTTAGCTATAATTAGGTATTTTTGATCTCAAATTTAAAAAGATAGTTTAACTGTGATCATTTTTTGAGAATTTATATGGGTTGAAAATTGCCAATTTGGCTATTTTGGCTTAATTAACGCGCAAGATATTTGTGCTATTATCGCGTAAGCCTCTATTTAATCCGCTCAAAAATCATTCTAAATCGAAATGAGGCAAGATATGTGGCGTTGTTATTAACTTATTAGAATTTAAAATCATATTTTTGTACTTGGTAGAGCGTGTAGGGGGAAGTTATTTTTAAAAAATTTTTTAAATTTCTTTCCAGAAATTTTATCAAGCTTTTAATGATGTTTTCAAAAGCTGTTGCAAAGGCCTTGAGCGGAAGTCAAAACATTCAAGGCTTCACTTTGATACGAGTAATCTTGTTGACATTGGGATCTTTTTTACATGCATATTGAATACTACGAGCATATGAGTGTCATGAAAATCTTCCTTGAACTACTGCTCAAAAGGCCCCGAAAAAGCTTTTTGTTTAGTAGATCAGCTATCAATTTTCAACGGAATCTTTTACAGGGCAATTTTTGAGTTTTAGCGTTCGCGGATATATTGATAGGATTATGGGCAATTTCAACCTAGACTTGCGTCTTTCAACATTTGCGCTTAGGTGTTGAGCGTCATATATACTTTTAAGCGCGCGCATATGTTTGTAAAATTGGCAGTGTTCAAACCCCCAGAATTTTACCAAATTACCCAGAATAGCATGTGAAATGTCTTTTGTATGAACATTGGGAGTAGATAACTATAATAGAGCAGAATCAGTTTTCATGAAAAAATTATTGCTTCGATCAGGGTAAACTGGTCTGAACAAAAAACCAGCCCGAGCATAAATATTCCGCTACTTTCTTCGAAAGTCGGGCAAAAAAGGTTGGGGATGGAATTAAGTGATGGTAAAGCACAATATTGTATATAATTGGAATGACGAGTATGGCGTCCTCATATAATGTTACTTGCCTGTGAGGTGTAATAAATTTTTAAAGGGAGAGGGGGTTCTTATGGGTTGGCGAGGGCCGGAGCCTCCCCTTAACGCATGAACCTTCACTTAACTCATGAGCCGCGCCTTAACTCATGAGCCTCTCCTTAACTCATGAGCCGCGCCTTAACTCATGAGCCTCTCCTTAACTCATGAGCCTCTCCTCAACTTATGTGCTTCCCCTTAACTCATGAGCCTCTCCTTAACTCATGAGCCTCTCCTCAACTTATGAGCTTCCCCTTAACTCATGAGCCTCCCATTAACTCATGAGCCTCCCCTTAACTCATGAGCCTCCCCTTAACTTATGAGCCTCCCCTTAACTCATGAGCCTCCCATTAACTCATGCGCCTCCCCAAAATTTACCTTACCAAAATTTACCTCCCCTTAAATGAATAGAGGACACGGAAAGCAAGAATTGGTAAACAGACAATTATCTATAAAAGGAAACTTTTAAGAAGCTGCTGACTATCCTGTATCCTGGTTATTTGATAACTCATATCCTAATTGACCATAGCATTTTGGAAAACTTCCGAAAACGTTTGACATTTCAAATCATATGATTTTGCTGGGGTAAAATAGCAGCTTTCATTGATTTTGTAAGAATTTTATCAAAACAATAATTCCAACAATGGAAGCTAATTTCGATTATCAGACAATTTCCGTAGGTATCTTGCGTCATATGAGACAATTAAGGCAAAAAACACCAATTTATCATTTATTCTCACACCGTCACTTCTAGAATTCGTTGTTATAAAAATAATATAGTTTGTTAAGCTTTTAACTGACCTTTTGAAATTTGACAACCATAACTTTTCCAGAATCGCCAATTTTAGCATCGAGAGTTTTTGTTGAATCCCAGGAAGAATGAACTTGACTAACGTGACCACCACTGAAGTTCCAGTTTTGTTGAAACTGACTCAATGGACAACTGGCACAAATGCTATGCGGCTCTCTGGATTTGTGGTGTCGGTTCTGGGATTGGTAGGCGAAACTTCTTATATGAAATTTGTATCCATGCACGGTGACTATGATTTATTAAGCGAGCAGACTTGCCGAGTTATGAAGTGGAACTCGAAGAAACTTAAAAGGTTGCCCTAGACAGAATACTGGAGAGCTTCCTTAGCTTCTGATGGTACACAGGTTTAAACTTGGTATCAAAAAAAAATCATAATTACTGATATTTTCCATCAATTTTTGTTTGAAAAATTTTGACAGAAATTACTCAAATGATGTTTAATTTGTATCATTTTGCAAATTAGGTGGGAAACTTCCTATGTTATATAACTGCCAATGAGTTGCCAGCTTCAAACAGTGCTTTCCTCATGAAACACTTGGCAGTGTGGGACTCCATCGGAGGCTTCACCGACGGATTCACAATCATCACCACTTACTTCAACTGGTGGATTGCAAACACTCACGTAAGGCATTCGAACTAGATGTCTCGAAATATCTAATGACAAGGAACTTTTCTTGACATCCGCGGCTATTTGATTTTCTCGAGTAGTGGGAGATGTACCTGAGACGTTTTAGGCACTTTTTGGGACGTCTTTGACCCGAAATTCTCGTTTTTGCGCCGACCCCTATATAATGATATTTGGACCCCATGTATAAGTTCGTGAGGCGACAATTCGTCGCAAGCGAATATTCGCATCATTTTTAAAACGCGACAATTCGCATCAAGCATCACTTAGTAGCAGGCGACAATTAGCAGCACGATTAAATGCCAATTGGGGCGATTAAAAAACAATGCGAGTTGAGCAACATGTTTTGCGGTGATTTTGGGGGATTAAAATCCAACGAGCGATCAAAATTTTCAATTTAGCACCATTTTGAAGTTAAATACCAAATCGAAATGAATTAGCTTTGAAGATAAAAGTAATTAAACGAGAGATAAGAGTAAAGATAAGAGTAATGAAGCGAAACCTTTGTTTCGATTCATTCGTTTTAACTTTTTCTTATAAATCATTACACTTACTGAAACCAATATGACTTTAAACTTTGTCATGAGCGAGCGATGAAAACAGCAATTTGTCCACGATAGAGAAACTTTCAATCTAAACCGCCACAAAAAAATAAATGATAAATACAGCTGGTGATGGGTCAACTCTGTGTAAAGCTTCTGTTGCCACCACCATCGCAGATAAAATAGTCAGCACATCTGGAAAACATGGTCACGAAAACATTCCATGCGAGGAATAAGTAAGAAGTAGAGTAAAATGTTCAAAAACTTTGGCATGTGCGCGAGTTTGAACTTAAACAATGAGTAATTTATTCCGCCCCCACTCAATCAAAAACAATGCCGTGCTTTTGGAGTTGAGCAAGACCCAGAGGGTGGATAATTTTCTGTTTTTTGATTCGGGGTTGGATGACAAAGACCGAAAAACAAAATTTGTCACCGAAGAGAACTTTGGAAAGCAACACAGTCAGGCATGCAGGTGGGACATTTAAAGCATATCCCGCGTTGCTTAACCAAATTTTTACCATTCATGCTATGAATAACAATCAAACAATTCCATTAATATTCTTTCTTCTCCAAAACAAAAACGAAGAGCAATAGCAAAACAATCGGACCTTCAGAACCCAGGACTTGAGCCCTCACAAGGTTGTGATAGATTTTGAAAAGGCCTCAATTAACGCTTTTCAAAAGGTTTTTAATAGAGTGACTATAAAAGTATGTTTTTTTTCCATTTCGCTCAAGCCAGTTGGCGCAAAATTCAAGAGATTGGATTAGCACCAGTGTATCGAGAAGATAAAAAAAGAAGCATGCTTCTAAAGTCATTCATTGCTTTGGCACTGATACCTGAGCTCGACTTTAAAATCGGCGTGACTGCTTTTGTTCTAAGCTTTCCGACCAAAACGACGAGTCCCTTTATTTGATTACATTAATTATTTTGAACCAGCTTGGGTTAGAAACTTCCTCCGAGGACGCAGAGGGTTGGACAATTTTCTATTCCACTCTGGAACCAGTTCGAAAACGCGAAAAATGGAAGGCAGAAAACCAACAATTCAGTGGAGGGATGGCATAGGGTTTTCCAGACGGTGATGGGGAGTGCTCACTCCACCATTCGAAAATTTATCCAGTTCCTGAGAAAAGAACAAATTCTGTCGCTACTAAATGTCGCTTGCTACCAGTCGTCGCGTGCTGCGAATAGTCGCTTTTTAAAAACGCTACGAATGGTTGCATGCGATGAATTGTCGCTCGCGGTGGATTGTCGCCATGCCGCATAAGTTAATACAAAATGGAAACAAAGACGTCATTAGAAAAGTTTTAGGGTCGATTGATCAAAAAAATATTTCATAAAATAGTAGATAGTGCAAACGTAGATAGTGCAAACATTTATTTCAATTTATAACCATAAGTGGATAAAAACCAGTAAAAAACAGATGTTTTTCGAGAATTGCCTTTTAGTTTTCTCTCAAATATACTGAGCTGGAACTGTTTCATTACCCTTAAGGACTGGTTTTAAATCTCTACAGAGATTGAGAATTTGAAAAATGTGTCTACTGTTAAATATCAAACAAGTTTTTCATGTGCCATACCTGTGACTCTGCGGTCAGTCTTGTGTCATGTTGCGAGCTCGCAACCGATTAAGACCACGACAGGGGTTTACATAGGAGGCTTCGAGTTTTCAGCTTGTTTATTTTTCACACAAGTGCGATCAAAAGAAACTATTGTTGAGAATATTCATAAGCAGCTATTTTTTACAAAGAAGCCTAAGCCCTTTATCTATCTATTCGTTTGCACAATCTACAAATCCGCTAAGTAAAGACCACAGAAAATATTTAGGTTAGCTTAAAAAAATGAAACATGAAAAATTAAAAAGTTAATTAATTTTTGGTTTCAATCTGAACAACACAGTTGCAAAAAGTTGCAATGCTAGCTAAAAATTTTTTAGTTTTGAATTAAAAAGTTCAAAGCTTAAAAAAGTTTAAAAACTACAAGCTTGAAAAAATTTTAAAACTTTGAAATTAGAGAATGGGATTATAAAAAATCATAAATGCCTAGAGAAGAAATTGAGTTATGACCGATGTGGTTAACTCATAGAGTAATTTCGGATAGGGTACACCGTCTGCTCGTCACGCTATCTTATTTTCGGCCGGATAGATTCGTGCAACTTCTTAGTCTAATACCGATCCTAATCTTACTCTTATACTATCTAGTCTCAGGTTGTTTAACTAGTCTCTGCTAGGCTCAATAGATCTAGGGTATACTGGTTTATTGCGGCTGCTGAAGTTCCTTTGGAGAGGCAACTAAATTCCAAATTAAATTCAAATCTCTCTGGTGCTGAAATTACAAGTAATTTCAGCACTTACAAATAAGTGGGTTGTTAGTTTGATGGATCATGATTGGTTAATATTAAATACTTTACAGTGGTAAAATATCTAATTTATCCAATCATAAAATGTAGTTTAGATCAGGTTCCACCCATCCGGGTTTTACAGAGTTTTTTAGAATAGTCTTTCTGCAATTCAAAGGATGGATGATGGACGTTGGTATTTGGCGAAAATCATATTTCTTCTGGGTTCTCTTGTTAGAGAAGTTCCAGGTTCAATCGCTGTGTCTTCTCATGACAACGACTGGGTTTTCGCAACAAACTCAAATCTGATTTCAGAATGGTTGGCTATGACAGGTTTTTCTGTTCCATGTAGAGAACTTCTTTTGGGTTGACCTTGTCTGGGAATGGCGTGGAGATTGTGCGTGGAGGGGATGCCTGGTTACTCGGATCTGTACGTATACTTGGACATCAAGGTGGTAATTGTTCTAGTTCAATGAAGTCCTTTTCTGCGAAGTCAAGTCGTACTCTAAATCCTTTGAGTTGTGATTGTGGGCGGCATGATGATTGTGGTTGGCCATTCTTTTTCGAGTGTAGTGGGGTCATTTTGTCTTTGGATGTTCGTCTTTGGTGTTGTATGCTGATCTATATACTGCAAGGTATAATTTACATTTTATAAAATTTTTATTAGTTTGGTGTTTTAATTATGATTTTGGTTAGTTGTTTTCACAAAAGCTTTTTGTTTTAGTTCGGTTATTTTGAAGAGTTACTCACCCTTGAGTACCTCTTATTAAAAATAGAAGTGTGGTCACAAAGCGTGGATGTAGCGCGGTGGGTTAGGCCGGCTATAGAGCTTGCTCAGGACGTCCTCTCTGGTGGGTTAGGCCAGGAGTGGGAGTATGATTTCGTGCGTTTTCTGTGAGAGGTCCTGTTATGTGATAACTTTTTATGTTGGGTTTATTGTGGTTTTTCTTATGTTTCGTTGGTTGTGTCCTTTTTTCAAAAATCAAATTGTTTTTGGTATGGGTTTGTCTTTCGACTTTTTTGTGTTTTATTATTTCTTTCTTAGACTTTATAATAGTCTTCAAAAGAATAAATTATCCAGTTTTAAACTGGGTTAATCCGGTTTGGGTACCGTTGGTTTCCTTTTCTTAGTCATGCTGTTATTCTATGTGTTGTGGTGTTTAGTAAGCTGCGTTGGTTAGTTTTGTTTAGTATATAATTCCTTTCCAACCGGGTTAAATGAAAGTTTGAAACTTGTTATCGTGTGGTAGAGTTGTTGAGTGTGAAAGCTTGAAACTGAAATTCATTATTTAAACAATTCTTCGTGGGCGAGCTGTGCGAGTTTGGATAGAATTCTTGTGCGAGTGAATGGAAATATCAAAAGGTTAGTACTGCAATTTCATTTTATCAATTTACTACATAGAATTTCAATTTTACTGCTAGTTTTGGGGAAAAATTAAGTTACAAATTTTCATCATTATTAGAATTACTGCTTTTAGGGAAATAATTTATAAATTAATTTACTACATTGGTATGAATTTTATTTAATTTAGCTGGCGCAAAAGATTATTAGAGTTTGGAACAATTTGAAGAAGTTTTCTATTTTTTATTTTTCTTTTGTGTATTTTGCAGATGATCGTGAGATGAAGACTAAAAATCTAAATGAGACATGGATAAAGAATGGTTAGTTTTTTAATTTGAATTTATTAGTTAAGAATATGTATAAATTATACTTACCTGTTAGTCGTCGGGGAAAAAACCGTGGGGGAAGATGTCGTGTATTATGTCGGAGTTAGTTAGTAATTTTGCTAATATGCGAATGATGTTTTTAGTTTGAAGCAGTGGCCAAAGCAATTGAAGTGCTTTAATGGTTTTTAGTTCTTCAGTGCCAACTGCAAAATCATAAGGTGTGTTTTGGATGAGATTATATAATTTATGATTGTATTTAGTGTTGTGGATGAATTCTAATATCGGGATTTCTATAGGTTGAATAAATTCATGTGGGATAAGGAAGGGTCTGGATTCTTCTGCGTTGAAGGTCTTCGTGATGGGACAAAAAATATACATTTGGGCTATGGGATCATAATTGCGAAGAATACCGTGAAGTTTAGTATCTTTGATGCAATATGTGAAGTTAAGAA